AATCTTGTGCATTTTTCGTGTAACATCGCACTTTTTGTTTTCCATGAGTTCTGTCGTTTTGCTTAAAAAACCTGAAGCAGTTAATCATGCTTCTATAAAACTAGTCTGGTCGCCATAAATTTTCCAAACGAACGAAGGGTTTTTGCCGTTTTTTGGGAACCAATATGGACCAAATGCGTTGATTCCTATTTGTGGGAGGGCTATAACACTTACGTTTCGTCGCCTGTGACAATCACCACAAATAACTGTCATCGTTCGGCAAAACGTCCAAGTGCTGCTGACAAATTTCTTTCCTCCTATGCTTTCCTCAGCTCTTGACTCAACTGGTCCTCCTATCTTGGGTCGTTCGAGTTTCAACCCCATCGAAATTGTTTGGACTGAAAATGTACTTCAAAATGAGATGAACCGTTAGTATCGTACATCTGGGTCATTATGTCATGCATAACTTTAGCACCATGCGATTCATTCACTCATTCTTCGAAAAAAAAAGTAAAGCCAATACTGCCTAATGTTGTGGAGGCGTAAAAAATTACGCCAAGGTACTTACGACACTATAGAACTATAGAAACTGTAGAAAATAGGGAAGCTTTGGTCTTCCCTCTGATTGTCAAAGCGGAGGCTTTTACTGACAGAATGACATCTTCACTGTAATGTGGTTAAAACACGAGTTTGGACGGCCAACCTTTGGACTTTGAACTGCGAGGAAACTTTAAACTTTGAACGGCGACCAAACTTTGGACTTTGAATGCTCAGCAGCCTATGAACTGTTGCTTCTAAGATTATCACATCTTCTATTTAGTGTTGAAAGTCCTCGTCAGGAGGCCAGCGAGATAACTTGGGCCGCGCCTTTTTTTTGTATGTACGGGTGGCACTCTCTAAGTACAGATGTTTTCAGGTCGCATCAACATCCGTCTGTGTGACCTTATGGAATTTTATATGAATTTGAGTTAGGATATCTTCATTGTGCTTATATGGCTATCACTTGCTTTCGTCAAGCTATTTTGTTGTAAAGTCACCCTCAAATGGCCTTGACACTGGCATTATAATTTATTATTTTTCAGATCATCAAAAGTCAATGCCCCTATTTTTGCGGTGCCTTATTTCATTGTCAAAGCAATGACCCCATTTTATTTTAAAAGTCAACAAAGTTCAATGGCCCTAAGTTTGCATACTAATGATGTGACTTTGAACTAACCTCTAGCCTAGACAACGATCATTTGGATTAACGAAAGCTCCAGGAACCAAGCAGCGGAGTGATCGGCGAGATCGATCTCTAAACATCACCTTGCGTTAATTCTCTACGGCACCACTAAATGCAACGATTTTAAGCTTCACCTTGAGCTCCTTCCAAGGTCACCACAAAGTGACTTGCGACCTTGAACTGGTCCATAACGTCCCCTATACGACTATTAGCATTACGTTCAAAAATAAAACAAGTAACGATTTTTTTTAAGTTGGTAGTTTCTGTCACCAACTCAACTGTCGAACTGTTTATTTTCCGCATTGACCTTTCACACCCGAAGTTACAACCAGACCGTATATTTGTGAAGTCGACCAGCTTTGCTGAACACTCGGTATCTAGAAGCGTGTTAAGTTGGGCGCTTCGTTATTTAAAGTGTAATGCCGAGAGTATTTGTTTGGGTTCTACGAGTTGAAGAGCTAAAGGTAATTGATTTAATCTCAAGAGTTGTCGTGAAGATTTCGTAGATGCCATGTGATATCGATGATCTCGCCGTTTGACCTTCGAATTTCAATTAACAATGGGTGTTAATTAAACTGCCGAATTTGGAGATTGCATTCCGGTCATTTGACTAACCATAATTAATTAGTAACATTTAAATGAGTTGCAGAACCGCCCAATTGAGCTGGGATTTATCTCAAAAGAAGCGTTCTTTAAAAACTGGAATTTTGACACCGGTCCCGTATTTTTGAGACGTCTGGGAAGGACGCAATTAATTAAAAAAGTTTTAATTCGTTTGAACGTATCGAAGGTATAAGCGTACGAGATCAGACTTCTAAAATTGTCTACTTGCATTCTCTGTTATTTCATCACTTCACTGCATTCTACTTCATGTGTATTTCTTAGATTGCATACGTTAGCGGCAAAGCCCATTACGTCGCTAAACTTATGTTTGCCTAGGTAATTCCAGCATTGCCGTACCTCTCCAGGTAACCTTCGAGATTATTTCGTATTACGGACATTGCCTGATGTGTAATTCGGCAATCTTAGGTTTGCTAGATATGGGTTAGGTAATGTTCCAAATCATTTTATGTAGGTAATTAAAGAAAGACAGGGTGTTCCAGTTCAGCTGGTGAGCTTCGAATTTAAAAAAAATTCCAAAAATATACTGGGAATAAATATACTATTTAAATAAATTAAGTCATATTCGGTTTAACAAAATTTTCCTTAGCCTTTTATAACTGGAAAAATGTTTATTGTGGAAAAAACCCTTTTTAAACTCACACAAACTGCAAATTTCTTCGTTTAGTCAATAATTACGTTAAAAATATGTCAGTTTCAACTGGGACACCATATATTAACTGATGTTTGCGTCAGTTCTGACTGTCTTTTAAGATATTTCGAACATGGCCTAACCGACATCTGAAAAACCTAAGAATGCCGAATTACGTATCAGGTAAAGTCGGTAATACGAAATCAAAATGCTTAAGTTCTCAAGATTACTCAGCTTCTCTGGATTTCGTCGGTTTCTTTGATTCTCAAGGTTCTCGATTCGAAATATAAATAGGAAACCTTATTGCTTAGTGACCAATTTAAGATAAAAAATTTGCTCTGCCCAGCACAGATACTGGGCAGAGCAAATTTTTAATCTGTACACTTATTTACGGCATTTCCGTAAAAAAGTGAGTCACTTTTTATCCCAATGCACTACCTCCCTTATTAACGTGCGGGTGGTAAAAAGAACGCACTTTCCATTTGACATATTATCGTTTCTGGTTGGGTGTACAATATTCCAAACATACTGTAGAATATTGTAACATTATTTTCGAAGGATTCTAAAGTGTCAGTTTTTGTATACATGTGTCTGATACCAAATGTATGGAGCACCCGGTATATACAAAAATATTTTTGCGTTATGCACATTAAATCAGCAAACAATTTTGTATTTTAACTTTTTTGTAACATCGGCCTGATAGGAGATATCGCCCAATATGGCTCCAATTGGACATTGTGTATGTATAATGTATACTGTGTTTCTTGAATCCTAGATTCTTCTTTGCGGAATAACAATTCGTGATATTTTAACGAGCTTACCGTCGAATAAAGAATGTCTATGTTGTTTAGGTATAATACCTCGTTTTTTTTTTTGCTTTCGGCTTTCGTGCAATATTTTCGCCGCTTAAATATTCATTTCAGATACTCTTTACGTCATCGATTTTCTGTGAATTCGTTATAGTTTAGATTATTGGTAGAATTCATTTCCTAGTTCATTATTCCGCCACTAGAGGGCACGCAAAGTATCTTTCAATACCTCAATAATATTGATCAATTTCACTTTCTGTAGTCTTTCGCTTGCGCAAAATGGATCCTGTATATACAGTGGTTGCCAACCCGTAGATGTCTACGGACCACTCAGCCTGAAAGTGAATTACCACAAACCACCCATTATATTATTATTACGTACATACACCCTAAGAGTTGTAACCAAATTCAAGGGTGATTAAACACAATAATTTTTCAAAAACAACCTATCATCACTAATTAAAAAAATGACAAACATTTAACAGTCAGTAAACGTAGAAATAGCACAATACACCCTGTGTAAAATGCTTATTTAAAAAACTGACTTTTCAACGATTTTATGTATTATAAACTTGGATAAAAAGCAGTTAATCCAACTGATCAATTGCAGTGCATTACAATTTGAGGGATTGTTTAAACTCAGTTGCGGAATGAATACGTATTACGTACATTAGGTACAAGAAACCAGCGAACTACTTCAATGAGAAGTTTCACCCATTAGAGGTATAGTATCTCAAACTACAGCTTTTCTCAGCGAAGTTTGCGTGAACTATTTCGCTCCTTTCCATTATACCTGCACACATCAATAAAATTCCTTCTCGTGGTTTTGTGCTGCGTATTTAGCGGTATCATTTTTTCCCTCCTTATGTTACGAGAGACCCCTAATATAATCTCCTATTAATCTTCGAATTGATTGGAAGGATGTGACGTATTTTTATTAGCCGTGGAGATGTCAAAATGGTTCGTTATTTCAGTTATATAATCTTATACTTCTGTAAAAAAAATAATAATATAATTTTGAAGTGCGCTCTCAGTTAAGTAAGCCCAAAGTATTGATTTCCAATCGGAAAACTTAAAATCCTGAATAGAATACATTTATGTTTCTTTTCCAAAGCAGCAGGATAATCGCCTTTGATAGTACAAATTATTCAAACAAAGGTAAATCATCCAGGGATATAAAAAGGAATATCAGTGTAAAGTGCAAAATGCATAGTAAAATCATTTTGAAAGTTTTTTTTAAGCGGATTTTTGATTCTCACTAACGGTCAGTTGGTCGAGCGCTTTTTTAAATCGATCGAGATCTCGGCAACGGAATGTCCTAGAAAATTCGGGTTTTCGGCATTATATTCGTACTATCGTGGTATTCGTGCATCGCTTGAAGGTTAAAAGTGATTGGTCCATGAAATTCAATTGTACTCTGAACAAATATGTAAGTAAATGTTTACATAATTCGTTGTTGGATTTCAAAATGTCCGCGTCGTCACACCAAATTTTTCAAATTGAAGAGTTGAAGAGTCGAAAGCGATTGGAAATTTGCTGTACGTGCATATTTGGAGCACGAAGATCTGTTTAAGCACATAGCAAATGAAACACCTGTCGAGGTATCTCCAATTTACATCGACTCAGTATGCAACAATTCCGGCGAAAGAAGAAGCGATCACATCAAAGATTTTTTTTATTCATTGGCATCATCTCAATATTTCCAAGGTGGGAGGAGGCACACCATAAAATTTTGTGGTAATTTTTGAAAGTCTTTATTAGATACATCACATGTGGCCTTTGACCTACGGGCTAGCCGACCAGTGCTCCCAAGTTTTAATTTCGTTATAAAGAGCGGCCCCAGGAGACTGCGATGCTGCAACTTGCTTGTGGCCCAGTAACTTGTAATTGCCATTAATCTGTCCTTGCGATACACCCCATGCTATAAGATCTTTAAGAGCGTCCAACGCTTCCTTTTTCGGCAAGGTTGCTAAAAATGAAGCTGTAGTATTGAAGCCTAGACCTAATCCGTACATTGATAATTGCCGATCACGCATATTCCGATACTTTTATTATTGTAGTTGCGTGTGTGAGCTCCACTCTTACCCCAACCTCGGCCTTCGTAGACACTTCCGTCTCCTCCAATCTGAAAGAGTATGATGGGGTAGAGTATTATGATTGGAGGACTTACCAGAAAGTTGTAACCTATGTCATCCCAGTGATTACGAGTCATGTGGTCATTTTGGAACACTTTTACCATTCTCTTGCAGCTAGCTTCATCATTGCAGGGCTCAGTAACGCTGTGATGTATAATAACATATGGGACAGGATTCTGGGCTAACGATTGCTGAGGTTTAGAACTACTTTTCGCGCCCCATCCACTTCGATCGATTATCTTAGGAGCATTTGCTATGGGCTTGACATTTGTATTGTAATTGTAGAGAGTTACTCACCTGTAACAATTCCAAAACAAAACACACATACGAATACAAGAACAACTTCGCGTACATCCATGGTTTTCTATTAAATATATTGAGGGTAACAGGGAAATATTGTTATTGAGTATATATATATCACAAAACAAGCGTGCTAAAAAGATTATCAACGTAATTAATCATAGGATAGATATGACAAGAAATAATTTGGTAATTCCCTTATTTTGCTTACTCAATTTTGCAGATAAAGGTAGTGATTAAATGTCAGTATTCCAAAAATAGCAAACATTGCCATACAAATGGGGGAAAAACATACATGTTACTGTGGTACCAACGTGGTTGGAAATTTTGCTAGACTTCCATGTACGAGGCCATGAAATATCAAATTTTGTCGAAGTCATGTTTTTCTCGACCCCGTTTAGGAGTGTGCCATGTTGGGAGTTGGAATTTTGGGGGTCCGTTAACTTGGCCCCCCCCACTGAGAGATTTCATAGTCGTATTATTTTGAAATGAATGCGCTCGTTATGCGCTCATATGCGCCACCGATAATAACTCTTGCGCCATTATCGTTTTTTAGAAATCCGAAAAAACATTTGGGGGGGGCCAAGTGAACGTAGCCCCCCCCCCCAGTACGTATTTTGTCCCTTGTAACTAGGTCACCTGATACATTTGGTTATGCGCTCAATTGCGCCACTTGAATTAAAGCTAGCGCCATTACAGTTAAGCCGTGACAGATTTTTAAAAGTTACTTTTTTTTAACATCCTTTCATACGAAATTGTACTCTCAGGTATGCGCTGAAATGCGCCGTAAAAAGATATCTTTGCGCCATTATTGTTTTTTGGTTATCCTTAAATATATTTGGGGGGGGGGGGCAAGTGAACGGAATCCCCCATAACGCATTTTGCTACCGGTATTTGTGCCACTTGATACATCTGGTTATGAGCTCAATTGCGCCACTTGAATTAAAGCTAGCGCCATTACGGTTAAGCCATAAAAATTTTTTAAAAAGTGGAGGGTCTAACTTAGCGTTTTCAAAAGTTATTTCCGGAAGTGCGTCCATTTTGAAAATATTTTACATCGATTCGGCCTTCGGAGTAACTCCTAAATATAAATTTTTAAAAACCTACCTATTTTACTTTGTCAGAATCGTTTAACTAAAGCTCCCAAAAAAACACCATGTATAGTGTTTCTGAAACACTATAATGGCGCCAAGATTTTTGTTTACGGTGCATTTTAGCGCATGATGAAAGATATGATGTAGTAGAAAAAACATGTTAAAAAACGTAACTTTTGAAAACGTTAAGTTAGCCCCCCTCCCCTTTTTAAAATTGTTTTATGGCTTAACCGTAATGGCGCTAGCTTTAATTCAAGTGGCGCAATTGAGCTCATAACCAGATGTATCAAGTGGCACAAATACCGGTAGCAAAATGCGTTATGGGGGATTCCGTTCACTTGGCCCCCCCCCCAAATATATTTAAGGATAACCAAAAAACAATAATGGCGCAAAGATATCTTTTTACGGCGCATTTCAGCGCATACCTGAGAGTACAATTTCGTATGAAAAGATGTTAAAAAAAAGTAACTTTTAAAAACGTTAAGTTGGCCCCCCCACTTTTTGAAAATTTGTCACGGCTTAACCGTAATGGCGCTAGCTTTAATTCAAATGGCGCAATTGAGCGCATAACCAAATGTATCAGGTGACCTAGTTACAAGGGACAAAATACGTACTGGGGGGGGGGGCTACGTTCACTTGGCCCCCCCAAATGTTTTTTCGGATTTCTAAAAAACGATAATGGCGCAAGATTTATTATCGGTGGCGCATATGAGCGCATAACGAGCGCATTCATTTCAAAATAATACGACTATGAAATCTCTCAGTGGGGGGGCCAAGTTAACGGACCCGAGCGAGGATTATTTATGGGAACTTAAAATACCAACGTGTATGATCACTATCATACAACTGGTCATATAAGGGACAAGCTTATCGCGGATGCAATTGGAATTTTATTAACCTTAATTAATATTCCAGCCGAAGGCGGGGTAAAACAATTAATTTTTACTTGTAAATAAAGGAACATGAGCTAATGGATAAGTTACAGACGTTATGATTGAAAGGCGAAGGGTGATGACCATTACACTTTAATTTAAAATAAGATGTAGCACTATTGCAAAAGCTTATTTATACTACCATACCTAGTCTTTGTTGAGAAGTGCACAAACCAGTGTTATCGATGTATGTTGTTACGCCTGTACGGCGTTTTCGGAAAAATTTGATTTAAAATTTAATCTTACAAAGAGATTCAAATTTACATTTCATGGTTTACCTAATAGAAAGGTCAGTAATATTCCTCAAAAATTTAATGAGATGAAAGTGGAACCTCTATGTATAAAATTACATTATCACATTTTACCCACCTGGTAAAAAGAAGAATATAGAAATTTCCTACTGCCAGTCGTAAACCGCTACCTTCATAAACTTTTCACGCGTATAATTGTAATTGGATAGAGAATATGGCCGTGAACCTTTAAGTATCGCAAGTAGGGACGATTTAAACTTTACGATTTTCAATTTCTGTATTATGAACGCTATACAATAAAATAATATTGTTACATCTCTCCCGTGTTTGAGTATAATTGCGTAACGTTTATTTAATCTTTATTTAATCTTTTCATAACTCACATTTACCCCAATATACGATTTTTGGCAGCGCTCCAAAATTATACCATTTTTCATTCGGGTTTGTTAATCGTGTTTATATCAATCTCAACACATTCCCACTAACTTTGCATTTTTGTTTTTATCAGATACAGTCACTAAACAAATTAGCTTCTCGTATATTTCAAGAGGTGTTTGCCTAATGTACAAAGTTGATAGGGATTCTCGGTTAGGTTAGATTAATGCAAATGAAAAAATTCATTCATTCGTAAAGGTTCTTCCTCAAAAGGACTTTGGCCTACCTGTATCGATTGAAGCTTTATTGCAATAAAATTGTCTACACTCCTGAACTGTACCATATTGTCCGTAAAGACGACTATATAAATAAAAATGCACTTAAAGTTCTCATTTAAAAATTGTCTTTAAAATTTGATTCATCTAAAACATAAAATATTCGAATATGAATGAGCTACAAAAACCTGTACGCGTCCCAACTTTTTATTGCTTCACCCTGTTCCCTTCGTAATTCACAGAACTTGTTAGCGTTAATTTGAGAGTAAGGCATATGACTTAGTCGTCCGATTTATATGTTTCAGTTTGTTCCAGCTTTATAGTTTAATCTTCTAATTCCATTCTCCCAAACTTTAGGGCAACACATTCGCAAATTTCGTAGGTAATTGAAATTTTAACCTCCATTTTGCCCTAGAGCTGGTTCTCTACCTTCGGCTTTAGGTGGTGATTTTCACCTAATTAGTCTTACAAAGTTAGCGTGACTCAAATATCTTCGGTGGGGATTAAAATTTTCTCAAATTGGCAAGCTTACGTACGCAGTTTGCAAATCAAGTGCAGGTTTAATTACGTAAGTACCGTTAAAACAATTTGCTTATTAGCATTAAGAGTAGGTACACTGCAATATTTTGTATGTTAGTCTATCGTTGATGAAAAGATTGAAATGCCAGTCAGCTTTTGTTACTTAATGAACCAACTAATTCGGCACAATGTAGGAAATTTTACTATGCGTAATAATTAACGTACTAACATAATATACAGGGTGGTGACTTGCGTAACGCATCATAGGGATTTCAATGTAAAATTCATAACATGCGATGATTGGCTCCCCAAGTTATTTTAGAGCAAAAATGTATTAAGGTTTTTTGTAGGAAAAATTTTTTACGTCAATCAACCCTATTAGTTTTCAATTTTTTGCATAATAAAGACGGAAAATTGGAAAATAAAACCCCCATCTTTTTCAATAATCTGTGATGCCATGGAATTTTATAATACAAAAACTACGCCAATATCCGTCATGCCATGGAATGTCCCCTATAAAACAAATCAAATTCTATCAAAAAGTATTATATTTAGAACAGCGAATTCAACATAAAGAAAGACCAAATTACTAAAAACGGTTTCCTAATATAACAATTTACAATAAATGTTCGAATAAGTCACCATTAACTGCAATACAGTAACCAAGTCGATCATAAAAGCCATTTCGAACTGCTGCTAATTGATAACTGGATATCTTTTTGTTTTAGAAAATCATTTTCTTATATGATTTTTTTTTTGGACAGGTGGGGAATAGTATATTAAAACATAAGTTGCAGAAGGCCCTCTATTCTAACACGAGTTCAAGTTTCGAACCTGAGCCGCGTAGCGGCGAGGGTTCGAATGAACGAGTGCTTAGAAGGCCTTCTGCAACGAATGTTTTATACTATTTTCTCTGTTTCGGGCTCGTTTCGCATTGTTTATTAATTATGGATAAATTTAAAAATATTTTCGATGTAAATTGTGTTGGCAGTACTGACTATTTGCTTGGTTTCCATAGTAACCGATCTTTCAAATTTCTTCACGAGATATTTTTGCGAAATTATCTTTAGATTTGAAAAATAAAATCCATTACCTACATTTCACTAAAGAGCCTACAATGTCAGACGAAGAATTAACTTCAACACCACCGGAATTGCGTGAATTAGCTGATAATGCGGTAAATGATTTGGTGCTATCCAAGTCTAAAAATGAGTACCAAAAGGAGTATGAAAAATTTGAATCTTGGCGCATTGAAAACAAGGTGCAAACCCTCACAGAAAATGTTTTGCTTGCATACTTCGAAATTCTTAGTAAGACTTACAAAAGTTCTACATTATGGAAGACATACTCGATGCTTCGATTGATGATAAACATCCGACAAAACGTTGACATTTCAAAATTTATGAAGCTTCAAGCATTTTTGAAACGATTATCGGTAGGGTTTGTACCCAAAAAATCAAAGATACTGGAATATAATGATATAGAAAAATTTATTAGTGCTGCACCGGATATGGATTATCTCGTTATAAAGGCGAGTTCATAACATTTTGTCATGTACACTAAAACTACAATACTATTTTTAGGTAATATTAATTATGGGTTACTCGGGCGCCTGCAGACGTCAAGAGCTTATTAATATCGAGCTTGACGACATTGAATATAAAAGTCAATCGGTTTTTGTCACAATAAAAAAAAGTAAAAC